AGAGAGAGAGAGAGAGAGTTTCACAAAGGTGATCTTAATTTCAAATCATCCCTCACATTTTGAGAAATTGATTTTTCTAAAAAAAAAGTCATTTTGCTTAATAAAATTATGTTTTTTGATCAATATGGGAAGGCATTTTCTATATGGCTTACTAAATTCTCTTTCTAATAAAATAATGTCTTTTAATAAAACATTATGTTTTTTGATGAATATGGGAAGTGTTTTTCTATTTTGCTTAACAAAATTATTTTTTTGATAAAATTATGGTTTTTTAATAAAATTATGTTTTATGATAAATATGGGAAGTGTTTTTCTATTTTGCGAAATAAACTTATTTCTTGATAAAATTATTTGTTCTACTGTTCTTTATTAGTTGGCGTTTTTATTTGATTTAATAGCATCAAGCTACTTTTGTTATTTGTAAAAAAGTGCATAAATTTTCATTTCTAATGTTTGCGATTTTTGTACAAAAGAAACTAGAAAGTTTTTCATGTAAAGTTTGGGATGAACATGTTAATTCTTGGAAGAAGTTGTTACTTGACAAAAATATCTTCAAAGAATATCCTAATCTAGGAAACAAAAATATTTATGTGACCTGTTTGAGATCATGTACATGACCATATTATTCAAATATTAATTTATAAAAAGTTGTTTCCATTTTTTTTTTGTAAGATAAATGTATGTAATAAGATATTATATACTTAATCTAAGTTTTTTCAATTTTTTTTTTTTTTTTTATCTTTTTGGGGGTTTTTGACCCTTTTTTTTTTCAAAAAAAAAAAAATCTACTTGACCGGTTAGTCCGGTTCCGTTTCAAATCGCTCCCAGCCCCATGTCCTGTTACCCATTCAGATTCGATTTTGCGAACATTGGTTTAGACTGCATCGGTGAGTAGGGGTGGCAATGGGTTGGGTCCGGTCGGACCTATATCTGACTCAAAAATTAAATATCCTATGTATTTAACTATATTTAAATATATTTCATCTATTGGGACCCAAAAAATATTTCCGAACCCTGACCGGACCTAGACCCGGACCTGGACCCAGACCCGAACCCGATCCAGAACCCGAACCCGGAGTAGTACCCAGACCCAAACCCCGGATCCGGACCCAGACCCAAATTGTGTTCGGGTCCAAGATTTGGACCCAGACCCAACCTGTCGGGTCTAATTTTTTGACACATACCTAGATCCCGGATCGGGTCTAACCCTTGGGTCTCGGGTTAGATCTGGTTGGATTGGCTTGTCCAAACTGGTTGGTCCACCTATCAGTGAGAGCACCGGTCTGGTTGGATTGGCTTGTCCAAATTGGTTCACCACTTGGACCAGTCAAATTAATAAAAATTTAAAAAATGGAAAAAAGAAAAAAACAACAAAAAAAAAGAGAAAAAGGAAAAATACGGAAACTTATGTAAAAATAGAAAATTAGGAAAGACAGAAAATAATTAGTAAAAAAATAAAACCAACTACGAGAGAGAGAGAGAGAGAGAGAGAGAGAGAGAGAGAGAGAGAGAGAGAGAGAGAGAGACGTACGAACTACTACGTACTACTACGTAGTGTGTGTAGTGTAGTAGAGAGAGAGAGAGAGAGAGAGAGAGAGAGAGAGAGAGAGAGTACGTACGTAA